CGATGAGTGTAACATCGGGATGAGCTTATATTTTAAAAAATCTCAATAGTTCACAAGATACAAGGTCATTTCTTAATTATTGATATTTTTAAAGATGTAAGATCATCCCGATGTTACACTCATCAAGAGCTTCTATTTGAGTACCCACATGTATTTTTGATATATTTTTCATATATATAATATATATTAATATATGAAAAAATGATGTGGGTACTTAAATGAAAGATCTTGATAAGTGTAACGTCGGAATGAGCTTATATCTTTAAAAATGTCAATAGTTTACTAGATTCAAGGTCATTTCTTAATTATGTATCTAGACACAAAGCATTTTCGAATGCAGCCTAAATACTTATCATCATAAATTGACTATTAGTGAGAATGATATGAAACCATGAAAAGGAACAACTCCAGGCCATTGATAATGTTGTTGATTAATTCAGTTCTTACTTTTATTGAATAGCTTATAATACAATTGGTAACTTTAACCACTTGTGATGGTAAATGTAACCATCTTGATAATAAATGGTACGATCGCTCTATTTTAGGAATTATTATTTTATTAGTGTACTGATTATAATTTAAATTGTTATATTTATCATTTTAACTTTTATAAAATTAATTACCATCTAAGATAGTAAAATCTATAAAACAAGTATTGTTAGGGTAAATATAAAATTCTCTCCATGTACCTACCGATCACTAGTTCTGATCTGGGAACTTGATAGATTTTTTCATAGCTCATACAGCACTATACTCACATAAAAACGATTTTGTTAAAATAAAAAAATACGAAATAATTGGAAAATATGTTGTCGTAACAAATAAGTATACTTATAGCAATAAATCTCATTAATTTCCTTAACAAAATTAGTCAAGTTGTAAAAACAAACCAATTTGTTACGTCACTAAATTAATCTGTTGTCCTAACAAAATAATTTTGTTACTATTACACTGCTTATTTTGTTGCCAAAAGTAGTTATAAAATTGTGAGAAGGTTTCGTTCATTACATGTAGTTTCATTATATTTCTTGTAAAGAAATTGACTTTTAAAAAATGAGGATGTCTATTATTCTAAAAACATTTATAATTCTAGAATTTTATTAAATAACCTCTATAAGTGAGACTTACTTTTCCTATACCTCTATAAACTAGAAACTCGGATTAGTGAGAAACCTCTATAAGCGAGAAAAAAATCGCGGTTCCTTGAACTCTCTCTTATCCAGGTTTTCAAGAGAATGAATTCTTTATTCAAGAAAATTTTCTAAGACCAAGAATAATTTCTTAGCTCAAGAATTTATTCTTTTGACTCAAAAAAATCATTTCTTCAAAATGGTATTCTTGGTTCAAGAGTTTGGCTCTTGAGTCAAGTCAATTTTTTTTATCAGTGTACTAGTTTTGGAATGTTATTGACTTAAATCCTTTTATAGTAATAGTTACCGTCACGATATAGCATCTTAAAATTGCAGTTTTTTTAAATACACTAGATCGTAACTATATTACTATCATGATGGTAACTATTATCGTAAATAGTTTTTAGTCAATAATGGGGACATCCATTAATTACGTGAGCTATTTTTCGATCAGTTTAGACTCCTCCCCCCCCCCCCCCCTTGTGTGAGAAAAATTTTTACTCAATCCATGGAGACTCATGTACTTTTTTTATACATACATATTATAATTTATATTACAATTATAATATTAAAGAAATCCACCATTAGCTTTGAGAAGAGCTTGTTTAAATCATCAGCGTAAATGATTTTAATAGACATAAAATTTATTTTATCGAGCAAAATAAACACAAAATAATTTTTTTTTAATGTTTGTAATATTTTATATTTTTTGAAGTTGAGGTGAGATTTTTGATTATCCCCCCCTCGGTTTAGATGAGATTTGGTGAGATTTCATTGGACCCCTCCCTCCCCCCCATTCTAAGCTCACGTAATTGATGGATGTCCCCTAACATTCCAAGACCGGTAACTAATTAAAAAAAAAAAACGATAATGATTATTAATATTTAATTTTCTCTGTGCAGGAACTTATATTTATTTTTATTCTAAAAAAACATAGCTGTTCTTTTAGTTAAAAAAATCACATGTCCTTTATTTACCGAACCAAATATTTATGTGACCGAAAATGTCTGGTCGGTTGATGTGATAAACTTTTACCCTTCTAGTGTTTAATAATAAGTAAGAAGCTTTGGTTTTGATTGTAAAAATTTTTCCATTGAATATTCTTAGCCCGAAGAATCTTGTTTTTGAAAATATCCATGAGTGATCATTCTTTATCTCTGATAAAACATTTTAAGAATCCCAGAAAATCAATCAATAGCTTATAAATATAAATAAAACATTTTTAATAATTTAAAGCTCATAGATATAGTGTTATGGTGAGTTGAATTTTGATTCCATGAATATTTCGACAGCATAAATTAAAAATTTTATTTAGCACTCAGTTGTCACGATTTCAGGTGTAAATAATTCAATTTAACACTAGTATGGGCTGGTAAATTCAGTCAATACATAAAAAAATACCTCTTATTTCTTAATCTTTAAAGATAAACAATATTTAACAAAGTAATGTATTCAATTAAGCTCCAAGTCTCTTACTGATTGCCTAACAGTAGGAGGAGAAAAATTCGTCCTATCAACTGTTGAAACAATTGCATCACATTGAAATTTTATTTTTTAAATTGAGGACATTTAGCCTTTCGAAATCAAAAAACAGCTTTATTTTTTTAAGATAACAACGAATATAAATACTCGCGGATTCTACCCACTGATCACAAAAGTTTTGATCTCGAAAGTCGATCAATTATCTCTACAACACAAACCCATAGTAAGTGAAAATTCATTTAAAATATTCTTTTTTACGTGGCTGATGACAATAATTAATTAATAATTTGTTTCAATCGCTCATAGAAGAAAAAAAAGCAAAATGCGTTTCGCAGTTGCATTCTTGCTCGTCATAATGGTTGTCTCAGCTGCAGCCACTCAAAATTGTTCGAGTAAACCTACTCCAGCCCCTTCAAAACCCTCCCCTTCTGGATGCTGTACAGGAAAAACTACACCAATAACGGATAATAGCTACAAATCTAATAAGTTTAATGCAATCACTCCGATTAATATCGCGGCTTTTCAACAGGCATCATCTCAAAATAGTAAATCCGGTGATCTTTCATCTAACCAAACTGGTGAACAAAAACAGATGAACAACGGAGATAATACAATTAATTCCAAATAATTATAATCATAGGTAGGTAGTCTTCACCTCAGTAAAATAATCCTCTAATAGCATTTAGTATTTTACAACTCTTATTTTTTATTATTACTTGTTTAATTTTTCATTCCACAGTTTCCAAAACTCCGAAACAACATAAATCGTCTGAAACATTCTTCTCAAAACTAACCAATGTATATTCAAGCTGACACTATATTTCCTATTACTATTTATGTTGTATAAAAATGTTGTCATCAAATAAATCTCTTCTCTGACAATTTTTGTTTTCATTATGAATATTTCTATTCATTTATTTATTTATTTAAAGTCTCGTCAACATTTAGCGTCTTTAGTGATTTCTATTTGTACATGATGTTAACTTATTATTCTATTTAAAGTTACGACTATACCCGCATGAAAATACTATATATCGTTAGAAATATATTATACAATATATTCCAAATAAGGAAATAAGTAATGAATATATAGCGGCAAAATTGTCTATATTGAAAAGTATAACTTCATTCTATATATAGAACCATGTATTTGAAATAATATATTCATTAATACATGGTGATCCATATATCGTTTAGTTAATCATTTACTATATTACCGAATACATAAAAATCATATATAATATATCATGTACAATATGTGAAGAATATATGTGACACCATATATTTATCGATACATTATTTTAAGTATTATTTTGAGTTTTACTTGTATACCGTTATCTGGTTTTTACAAGGCTGATATCCCCACTTTTTATCTCCATTCTATTTCTCCACTTTATCTTTCACTCTATATTGTTATGCTTCCATCTAGGGGATGTTATTTTTATTTATTGAAAACTTTACTTACTGTAGTTCTTTCGCCCGGGAGTATTAAAATACTCGGTTTCAGCGCGGAAAAGGAATAATTTCAAATAAAAGAATTCTATTTAGACGTTATTTAATTTTGATCAAAATTATTTAGTTGGTTTTAATTTATTATTCAATTTGACAAAATATTAAAAGCTTGAAAATATGAAATTGAGGTTTACAATGACGTGATCTTAGCAATCTAAGCTCTCGATGAGAAGTGTCGTTACATAGTTTTTCCGGAGAGCTTCAAACTCCGTTCTTCTCCCACCATAACTCCCATACATATATCCACTCTTGTACATATATAAGTACACGTATTTCTACTACATATAAATGATTTTCACACTAATATATAATATTTTTTCTATTATATTTACATACATTTATTTATAAATTATATATATTGCAGTTGATTAATATTCGTATTTTGCAAATTAGATTAAGCTTATTACTATTTCTATCAATCTATAATTTATTAAAATTATGAAATAGTTTAATTGTTAATGTAAGAGATAAATATCATTTAATAATATTATTTTATAAAATCTTATTCTTTTAACATTAATTAATAATTATTTATAGGTTGGATACAGGATATAAATTGTTAATTTAATTTTTATATATTTCGTTGCAATATTATATTAAAGCAAGTTTAACAAAAATATGTTATTTAACGATCTTATTCTTTGTAACATATTTGTTACGTTATTATTTAGCCGTTGAAACAAGGGATCATAGAATTTTCCTCACACGTGTCTTTTATGGCTTTTCCTCAGAATCTCAAGTACCTAAAATTTCTCAGAACTCAACTACAATGTCCCTTTGTACTCGACAATAGCTTACATTTATTTGAAACAAAATATACTCTATAAAATAAATATTCAACGATACAGAACCTAAACTTTCTAATTTGAACAGTGTTCACTATTTAAATTATGAATTAATAAAATAATTTAATATAATCTAAATTACATTTAAATTTGCACTTCACTGCTGGTAGCGTCATCTGTTGGATGCATCTAGAGGCATTACAATATTTCCCTCTTTATTGCGGCTGTGGACCGACTTGTGCTTTCTGTACCTAACCGTATTCACCCTGAACCTCACCTCCTCAGGCTGTTGGAACAGAAACATGGGGAAACCACAAAGAAAACCCATCCCTGATAGCCAGCGCTTTCTCAGTAAGTGTTGACTTCCAGCAGTTACGGTTAATTTATACATCAAGTTGGCGGTTATTCTTCACTCAACAACAGTTGTAAGCAAATTGACGGAAATCTACGGCCGCAACTTGAATACAAGTTAACAATCAAACTTGTAGTTAAATTTCCTTTCAACTTTACTAGAATTTGATGGAAATACTTGTACAGCAAGTTTTGACGTCTATTTGCAGAGTAAGTTATAGGTAACTAATAGGTAATCGCTCGCTTTGCCAACTCTTTCCGTCAAGTTTGCTTCAAATTGCGGACGTAGATTGACAGTAAGTTATTGGTAAGGTGGCTATATATCAGCGATGATAGTACAGTCGGAGCTGGGCTAAGTCTAATACAGTGATTGATAAGAAACTCTTCTTTATCGACCACTGGAGCATTAGGCCCCTCTCTCCTAGTGTGAAGAGATCCCTCGCGCGCTAGCCAACGCTGACTAGAGTGGTCACTCATTCAAGTTGTTGCTTAAATGTGTGATCGCCCAAGTCAGACGTGTGCCGTCCGGCTATTTCTGCCACGTTCAGAGGCTGGCAACGTAACCTAACGCACATATTTTTACACGCTTTTTATTAGCTTCACTTGTATGTATGTTTGTATGTTTGTAACTGACTTCTTTGGGCGCGATTTTGACCCACTTTAAACTGCCAGATTTCGTTCAAACTTTGTAGATTTATCGAGGACCGATGACAATACACTAATTTGATAAAATTATTCCATTTTTCAATTTGCAAAATATCATTTTTGTTAATTTATATAATTTCCATCTATAGTCGATAAGGTAAGAAACTTAATTTTAATTTTATATAATTTTTCTTTACAGTCGATAAGACAGGACTTGATGTTAATTTTAATTTTCAATAATTATCTTTAGCCGATTTTTCTAATATTGACAAATTTTCGAATACAAAGGAGAATTTGAATTCTACAAAACAAATAATAGTTTAAAAAAACTAAAAAACACGCTTTTATAAATAAACCAAATTAAAAAGTAAATAATAAATAATAGTTTAAAAAAACTAAAAACACGCTTTTTTATAGAAAACCAAACTAAAAATAGAAAATAAATTTTAATTAAGAATAGGGTTAATAAATAAAAAAAAAATGTATTTTATTTTAAAAAAAGCGTGGGGTGCATGGTGTCAATAGTTATAAATATTTTATTGACAGATATGAAGCAAATATATTGATGAATGTATGATTTATACATGAGAATGATATATTTATTTACAATATATTTTTTTATATTATTGTGGCAAAATTATAGATATGATTTTATATATCGTTCCATATATCACATTATAATATCAATATATTTAATCATATATTTTGAAACATATAAACCTTTTCCAAGAGGGTGGTTAACACCGGGGGATAGATCGAAGTGTCGATCACCGCTCAAGTTTTGAGGTTCATAACCGCTCTTCCCTTTCTCGTGTCGTCCTGTGACGTCACGGGGGCTACACATTAATTTAGCGAGTGTCGGCAACAAAAATTTTGGGTGGTAGTTCGCTAGGCTGATAAAATCGGGACATTTTGCAGTGTCTCAACACATACATACAGACATAGTGACACCAATAACTTCCCGATTTTTGAAAATTTTCAATTTTCTTAGCGGGAAGTTAAGAATTACGAAATTATTCAAGCGAGTTTTAGACCGCTTTCAGTCGAAATAATTTTTCTTATTTATATGAATAAATATATCTAACATTTGAAAAAACATAATAAATATTTCATATGAATTTTCGGCAAAAATAGATACATATTTTCTTATAAATTTTTTCCGCAGAAAATTTTATCATGCTAAATATTTTTAATTGCCATTAATATAACTTCTAAAAATCACTAAAAGAATCGAGCCATATTATTCCATTTTTTTTATTCTACATACTGATATTTATTCCAATAATATTTCGATATTTAACCCAACAGTAAATCAAAATTTCAGGCTTTCTCTGAAACAAAAAACAAAAAACAAATTAATTAATGACTCGGCAACATTTATGGCCTATATTTTTCTTCAGTACCATAATCCACAATTTAAAATCAAATAATGAATTTCTTTATTTGAATTTGTAATTAAATTAATTAATTATTACCATTGGGCTCGATTGTGTCCGACACCAGAACTGGCTTGGCATTAGGCTTGGTCAAGTCAAGGGTGTAATGATATTTTTCCATACTTCTGAGCTTCGGGTTGTAAATAGTCTCGGTGCGATGTAAAATGTTTCCATCAACTCGATCCTCGATATCTCGAAAATATGGTTCGCCATCAGGGGTCGTGCCTGAAAGTACCGTGTGTGAAGATCTACTACCACCATTAACGATTATTGTTTGTCCGCTGCTCGGCAATGGGATCGGACGTTGTCGAATTTCGGCTGAAAGTTAAAATAAATTTTAAGCACATCTTAAATTAGACTCTATGAAGAGTATTTAAGTAATAAATAATTAAGAGTTAGTCATGTCAGAAGAAATAATAACTAGTTATGCAGTTGAAGGTTATATGCAATACAGTATGGATTGAGAAACAAATTAAAATTAAATAGAAGTTAAGAGAATTACACGAACATTATAATTGTTGTGTGAGTAGTTGAGGTGAAAGGAGAGCAAAGTGATTAATGTAATTTAATAATAAGTAATAAAATACAAGTATTTAATAATTATTTCTTATCTGTTATTTTATGCATACATGGAAAAAAGAAAACTCGAAAAATTACATTGTAAATAGTAATAAGCGTCCCGTCGTATTAAAAACTAGAAAAATTACAGTTCGAAATAACATTTTTCTAAATTCAAACTTTGAATGTTAATTTTTAGAGCTTTCAATGTAATATTTACATTTTAAAATGTAGTTCTTACCAAATCTGAAATAATTACAATCTGAAACTGTAATTTTTCAAGTTTTCATTACGGAGCGCCATGTTAGCATTACATTATAAAATGTAATTTTTCTACTTTTCTTTTTTCCGTATAGTTGCTCCTCTTGTTACTTTTATTAGAACTCGTTGTTTTTTAGAAAATAATAAACACCTGTGAATTTATTCTTCATTGGTATAAACAACGAGTTTCATTGTTATTAGAACATACTAGTTAAAGCAAGAAAATCCACAGGAATTAAGGCCTACCCCAATGAAAAAATGTTTTAATTTTTTCAAAAGTTGAAAATTTTAGATATTCACAATTTTTTTTTTGATTCAGAATATGGAGAAAATTTTAAAATTATCTTATCACTTATAAATCATTGATTCAAAATGAAAATATACAAATTTAGTGAAAAGCCACAAAAAATTTTTGATATAAATATCACGATATTGCTCTGCAATTGGTTGAATTTTTTTTTATTTTTCAAGGAAAAAAATACTATAGTATTCTATAAATTGAGCTTTGAAAAATATCTGTAAAAAACGAAACGAGTAAGTAATTTTTCTGATTTAAAAAAAAATCGAAGTTTAGAATTTTGTAAGCTTTTAATGAATAATTTGTAAATCCACCATGAAGAAGAATATAATGAAAAAAATTTTTTTTGATAGTATCAATGTTACTCACTTAATAATTGATCGACTTTTAACAGTTCATTCCGGACATTGTCATTTATTTTCTGTTGAACATCACGGACATGGTTTTGGATGTCTGTTTGCAGCTGGTGGTTTATGTTTGAGAATATGTCGTTCAGAAAATTTGTATTTATTATTTGGCATTGCGCTACTCTAAAAAATTCAAATATTTTAACATTATTCATCATTTTAATCCATCATTTAATTTTTTTTTAATCTGAAATTTAATTTGTGAAAATTCGATAGCTTGCAATTGTGACTACAATTATTTCTCGAAAAATAATAAATGTAATATATTGATAGAAAAAAGAGCTTGACTCACGAGAAAAATTATTTTGAGGAATTTTTTTATTTTAAATAAGGTAAGAGCCCCAATTATTGACGGGGGTCTAAATATTGACACCCTAAATTATTTTTAAATATATTAAATTATCTGTAATAAGAATAATGATCAAATAAATTTTTATTAAATTTTAATTAATTAAAAAATTGAAAAAAATCACTTTCAGTTCAAAATATTAAATATTAATAATTAAAAAAAAATAAAGTTAGTACCAGTTCATCAAATCTGCTTACGAGCGTCTATTTTCTTAACAACTTTGGTTAGAAAAGTATTTTTTTTAACTGCCGAGTTTAAATTAATTTTTTCATGTAATTATATGATCTATTTTTTTTTTTTAATTAACAACATATGAAATATTTATAAAATTAAATAATAGAAATTAATTGTGTGCTTTAAAATATTTAAATAATGGGAGTCAATAACTAGTTCATAATTTTCATGGTGAATCCTATATTGACAGCCAGTCGACAGCGCTATGACGCCTTTTTTTTTTTAAATATAAAATACGTTACGCGATTATATTCAAGGCTTTTAACTGTCAAATAACTCGGCGTGTTTTGGTGTTAAACAAGTTTTAAATTAAGTTTTTGAATAATTTGTTATATTTTTAATAATAATTAATCATATATGGAAATTATTATTAATTAACTTTAATAATATTGATTACTTTATATCAAGTTTTTGATAAATAACAATATAACCAAATGATTCGATGCATGCGCAGTAGGGGCGTTAATAATTGGGGTTACGGTACGTCAATATTTAGATAGATCAATCAGTTTCTTAACCCGTCAATAATTGGTGTATCCAGATCATCTATTTAATTATTTAAAATTAATTAGTAAATATTACTAATTATCATTTTAAAAAAGAAATTGAATAGTTAAAACATTACTTAAGACATTACCACAAACAAAATTCAACGATATTTATATTTGATTGCTTAAAAAAAATGAAATCATAACTTCGACTCTTATAGCGTCAATAATTGGGGCTTTTACCTTAGAGTAGAAAATTGTTAAAATAAAATTTATTATTTTTTAAATTTTACTTAGTGAAATTTTAATTAATAAAATTTATTTAACAAATTATGCATCTGTCAATTAATTAAAAACTAATTATTAAGTATCAAAAAAAATTTTCAACATTGAAAAATTTGATAACTTTATTATTGATAGTTACAAATTGTTCTAAAAATTAAAAATTTATTTTCATTAAATGTTGACTGAAGACTTGAATTTATGAGGTAATTATGAAATTTATGAATAAAAAAGATAAAAAATTATAATCATCTGTAAATAAAATAATTATTAAGCTCTTTTAATAAATCCATCAAAATTATCGATTTAATAAAAAAAATATGTTTTTCATCGATAAAATAATTTTTAGAACTCAAAAAAATATCCGATTAATCAGAAGCACAAGATATGCATAAAATGAAAAATTTTAATATAAATTTAGGCGCGCAGTAGCCTATCGGATCCGACCCTTGCTACCAAAGCATTGGACCGGGTTCGAGTCCGACGTACACCAATGAATATTTTCAATATTTAAGTGTATTATTCTGCTCAGCCCAAGAAATATAAACGAGTTCCAATCTCAAAAGTTTACCCCCTACCGTAGTCGCTCATGACCTTAGTAGTTTATGCGACTTTAAACAAATTAAAAAAAAAAAAATATATAAATTAGCGCGCTCGATTGAACTTGATAAGATTCGACCAATAAAAGAATGTTTTATCACCTGTTGTTTAAATTTATCCTTTACCGACTTTGAAAATTCACTTGGAGAGATATGATAGTTGGTACAATAATAAATTATTAAAAATCCCGTACTTACGCAATTAACAAACAGACGACAATTAAAATCTTCATTACACAGCGCTTATATTGACGCACAAGAATCGATTATTAAAATGAAACTAAACTTTGAGTAGATCGATAAACAATATTGAAAGATAAAAAATCAATAAAGTGAAGGTACTGCAACTCGGTGTTGTATATTGTAGCGATTTAACAACAGCGATTCCGAGTGACCGATTCAGTATGATCATTCACACACACTTGACAACATGTATTATAGTATCGGTTTGGTCTGCAATCGCCTTCTAACACTACTTATGCATATATGTATGGATTAACGTTCTATTTACTGCGTTTATTCTCTTCATACACTCAATCATCGACACCTAAATAAACATGTGTCGGACAATTCAATTTTAATTAGCTGTTTATAAGCAAATTTAAATTGTTTTTGATATTTTTAATATTTCATAAATAAATTTTGAATTATTCTAAATCTTTGCGCTAAAATTGAAAATGAATATGAATTTTTTTAGCGGGGTGATTCCGTAAAACATTTAAAACAATTTATCTCAAATTTAAGTTTGTGGATATTAATTATATTTTTCAAAAAAATTTGACTTTGGAACATTAAAGTACATTTTTAAAAAGATTATTTTATTTTTGAATCTTGTTGATAAATAAATTTAAAAAATCGAAAAAATCATAAATAATTACTATTACTAAAAGTAATAAAATTAATTACTTTAATTTTATTAAAATGAACTTTTATATGGTAATTTTTAGGATTTCTTTAACAAATAAATTATTATAGAGAGAATTTATCAAAAAAACCTTCTTGTAGAAATTTAAGAAATATAGTGATGCATTTATTTATTAAATATCAAAATTTATTCGTTACATGTAAAACTGAACAAAAAGGTTATATTGATTTTTCAAATCTCTGAATACGGATTTTATAATTTTTAAACTAATAACAACTGTTTTTTTTTTATTGTTATTCAATACGAAGAATAAGAAATTTACTCTACAAAGTTTTTTATTATTAATAACATAAATAAAATCTTTTTCGAAGTGAATTTTCTCCGCAGGGATTAAATCAATCAAAAAAGAATTACGCGCTCCAGAAATTTTTTACAATGTATTTCTACAATGAATTTTTACAAATATTTCTTCATTTTTATTATATTTTTTATATTTCAGTACATAAATTTTATATGAATTTTTTTATAAGAGTAATTTTATTTCAAATTGTTAAGAGAATATCGACATTGACAAGTTAAGAGCAATAACTACGTCTTAGATTTTATTCAGTGTTACTGCTACAATTACTCACCACTAATTATTTTTTAAGCCCATCGCTTAAAAAGCGAATTAAATTTTTTAAAGTTTATGTCGGCGTTTAACCGAGCGATTAATTTATAATTTACTGCCGAGATAAAATTCAAATAGTAAAGACAGAAGAGAGACAATATGTATAACGTATGAAACAGACGAAAAAAAGCCTTCTCCTATACTTTTATTTTTTAGAGTCGAGTCTTTCATTTATTTCTTTTTACAGTCTATGCCTCTACCACAAAATTCATGAGATCCTCTTATTTTTATTTTTATTTCTCTATTTCTGGTTATGGTACTGTTTCAGATATTTTACGCTTTGCATTTTTTTATCACCAATAAAAAGGTTGCTTAAGAATATGGTAATTTTACTAAAACATTTACACTTAATCTGAGTGCAGTATTAAAATGATTAACATAAAAATTTGATAATTAAATTAAATATTTTTGATTTTTATTTTATTAAAAATATCCACTATACTACAACTTATAATTAACCCAAATCATGTATCAACTTATCATGACAATTTTCAAAAATAAACGCACATGCTTGTAAGCAAGTTAAATATTAAAGACATTGAATATTCTAACGTTGAAGTTCAGTTATATTATCTAACATTCAAATTATCTCGGTTGACCTAGAACTCTCCATTAGTGTTTTTTTCTCTGTTTTTTTTTGCACTAAGAACCCACTAAATCACTATTTTGTTCAAACGATAAATCTAAAGTTCCGAACCGAATGTAAATAAAAATAAAATTACTCAATTCTTTTCTAGTCCCGTCTAAGTCAAAGCAAAGACTTTAAGTATCTTAAGTATCTTAAGTATCTTAAGTGATTTCATAGCTTAATTTTGACTTTTGTGTATCGTGACGTTTAAGGATTGATAGATGGTGTTTTAAGTAACAATCTGGTGCTTTAAGGAATAAATAAATAAATAGACAAAACATGGAGGATAATAATAATATTTAAAATAATAATAATAATAATAATAATAATAATAATAATAATAATAATACACAACAGTGATTTATAATTTCACGAATAATTTGTTTTCACTACAGATATCACTGAGTATAATCTGGAATGATATCCAGTGTAATTTTGTTTTTTCCGTATAGTAAATTTAAAGAAATTTTTTAAATAGAAAATTCAAGAAAGTTCAAACTTGTATATATTTAATTTAAGTAAAAACATTTTGAAAAATTATATGAAAATCTTTCAATTGTATAAAAAATTTTAATATTTAGATATTGCTCGGTTTATATTCAAAAAATACGTAAAATTTCCATACTCGATCTTTCGTTGTACAGATTCCCATTGTTCTAGGACATAAAAAAGATATAAATAAAACAGTTCCAGTAAAGCTAAAGCCGAGTAGAAATTTACGGCAGTGGATCCCTCTTAAAAGACGAAAAAAAGGTATCAAATTTATCAGGTGTGATCAGGCTGAATGCAGCATCAAAGTGCAGGTAGCTATCCCAACAGGATTGGATGCCGTAGATGATCTTTCGCCTCATTTGATCCTTTATGCCCGGAAGGATTTCAGCTTCACCACACATTTTATATACCAGACTGTAATATGTAAAATATATCATTGATTGTAAAGCCAATAAGGAAGGCCATTTGGCAGTTGAAATTGAAGCAGATTTGTCAGAGCTATCAAAAAACTTGCAAAATTGTACAAACACAAATGCAACAGGAAAATTTTATCGAACAGATGAAAATCGATAATTTCCAGTCTGGAAAAAAATAAGTTAACATGAAAATTAAGTAACATATACATTTCTATAAAGATAAAAAATTTTTTATTTTTTTTTTATCGAGAGTTTAAATATGGCCACATATATGACTACACTGTAAAAAATTCCCAATGAATTTTTTTTAATCGGGTTAAAATCTATAAATGTAAGCCTTTTTTCATTTCTATGCGCAAAAAATAAAAGTACAGCGGATAAATTAACATTCAACTTGGACGAAGTTGAATCCAAGGGGTCTAGTTATATCGAATGATGCTGCTGACCCTAGAGTAGTAAAATAAAGGTTAGAAACAGGTTTTTGGGAGCTTGAGATGCCCTCCCGGTACTGATACTTTATTTTTGTTGTTTTTACAACCTTTTTTTATTCCTTTGTGTACACTCGAGTGGATGTAGGACATAGGATACGGGGAAGGATGCGTGAGGAAAGATAGGAGAAAGAAGAGGAGCCAAAACTAGGCAAGGCTATTTTCAAAACTTTAGATAAAATGGAATAATAAGAAGCAAGGGGATCTGTCCTTGATGGATGCCCGCGTCTTTTGTATTTATGTCTGTCTGAAACATCGTCTCAAATAAATAAGTTAACTCTATGTTCGGTCTTTATATTTATACACACGGAATGGAATTAATATAATATGAGGAGTGGTCTAGAGAGGAAATAGAAATATACTTTTTATTATTATAATATATATAATAACAAAGGGCAGGTAGCTGTTTACCTCGGTATAAAGCTGTAATTGTGACCCTACTTTGCAGGCTAAGTGGAGATAATGAGACGAGATACGTAATATATATAAGTCATCCTGGATTATTGGGTTTTTAAATATTTTTCTAGTTTTGGGTTTCGTGGATATTCGATGTCTTCATCTTCAGTTTGTATTTACAAATTAAGTTGAGGTTTTTGGTCAAAAGCAATTGAAGAAATGAAAAATTTTAAAGAAAGGAAGAAATTTCAGAGAAAATTGTTTTATTAAATTTTATAAAATGTTAACAAATTTTGACACTAAAATTTTATAGAACTGTATTAAATTATATGAAGTCATCTTTAATAATGCAATTTTATTTTCTTAATCGTTTTATTTCTTATAAAGGATAAAAAAAATTAAAATTACAGAAAAAATGTCGCATTTTTTTTTTTTCATATAAAAATGTATAAAATTCTTTAAATATATTTCTATGGAAAAAAATAACTAGGGTAAAAGACCCCATTAGTGGCGGGGATCCCATTACTGATACTTTCTTTGATTTTGGTACTTATTCAATTAATGAAATCATTAATTTCTATTATGAATGTATTATTTATAATCTTTAAGACTTTTGGATCAAAAATATTTTTAATTTTTATTCCAAGTAGAACATTTTTTCATTAAAAGAAAAAGTGCTACTAATAGGGCTTATAGGTCCACTAATAGGGTCTTTTACTTTATTTGTTTTATTTTGCATTGAAATTTCTGAAATATTAATTTGTAGAGTACTAAGTATGCCTAAAAATATCTAAAGCCCCACAACTGAACAATTACTGGAAATTTTTACATGTAAAAATGTTTCAAAGAACTATAAGAGAGTATTCTCTAAAATATTTTTTTGCGCCAGTTTATTTTATTAATAAACCGAAAATTGGTGAGGTATCTGCTGATTTTAATATTTTAATAAGAATGTATTAATAAATATAATTTATACAATGTACATGATGATAATTTATACAAATATACATAATGAATTTATAAAATGTTTCATACACGTTTTCGGCAAAAATATAGATAAGATTTTTTTGTATGTTAAATTAATTGAACATATATATTTTTTTGTGGAAAGAATTCTATAAAAATTTTATAGAATTTTATTTCCATCAAATTAATTAATAACGAATCAGGAAAATGGAAAACTATAAAAATATAAAAAATTTAACAGATAAATAAATCATTAAACAATTTTTAATAAAACCTACTTTATCATCACAAGAAAATTATATTTCTCTTTAAAAACTACATGTGGCGTTGCTTGTACTTGTAAATGAAAGGAAAGCATTAAGTCAACAAAATACTCTGTTGTAACTGTCAATCATTATTAATTTATTTTTACAAATATATACTTTGAGATGTTCTCAAATGATCAATTTTTTTTCTAGAATAAATGTAAAATAAAAAACGAAGATTTTTTCTTGACTTCTCAAACTTTTAGTTGCCAAAAACATGAGTTCTAAAAGATCAAAATTTTTCTACAACTAATTTCAAGGATTAGAAAAATTATTCAATCAAAATTGTTTGCCTACAAAGATTTTATTAAAATAATATTAAAAAAAAAATTTACTAAACAGCCGTAAATATTCAAAGCTAAATTATTTTTTGTAAGTTGAATTGATGGTTGATAAATTGAATAAATATTGAGATAAACACAATTGAAATTTAAAAGAGTTAAAAAAAGAAAGTTTGTCCGGTATCTCGTTAATCATGTCAATACACTTCACCGTGTGCGTATGCGTATGATATCAGTTGTAAAAGTGCCTCGCCTACATAATACAGCATATAACCTGGTGTGTCAAGAAGATTTAACGATATCGAAACACCTCATTGGATATTTCAGATGACGGTGAGTTAAATGATATGCTTGATACTTTGGCGTCGTCGATCTGATCCACCATCGATTATATTATTATCATGACGATGAAAATTGTAATCGCTTCCCGATGAAATGATGTATGAGCTGCTACATGGAAGAAATAAGTTACTTGATGTGAAAAAAAAATTTTCTTTAAAATTTCACTTTTGATTTAGGATTTTCAGTTCGAATTTATTCAGGAAATCCGTGCTCAATATCAAGAAAATGATACAAAAAGGATGAGAAAAATTAAATTTGCTATTTGAGAATTTTATCTATTCAATAAGACGCTTCATTACTTTCAAAAAAGATAACTTACATTTTATCCAAAAATTTATTTCCGCGGTAAAATTCATTCAATATATTACTAACTTGCTCCAAAAATATATTTAAAAAATTTTTCAAATCTAAAACATTCATAATGAAATAACTTGATGGGAGAGAAAAAAATTTTAATCAAGAATATAATTTTGAAATAAAATTTACGTCAGCTAAGGAAAATTTTTTAATTCAAGATTTTTCTGTTTGATTCAAAATGGTTTTACTCTTCAAAAATGATTTTTTTGGTTCAAGTATTTATCCACATAAAGATAACATATTATTGAATCGAGATTGTGGAAAGAAAATTAATTTTGAAGCATTAACAATTAAAAAATCATAAATTATAACTAAATAAATAAATAAAAAGGCGCGCAGTAGCCTATTGGATCCGGCCCTTGCTACCAAAGCATTGGACCGGGTTCGAGTCCGGCGTACACCAATGAATATTTTCAATATTTAAGTGTATTATTCTGCTCAGCCCAAGAAATACAAACGAGTTCCAATCTCAAAAGTTTACCCCCTACCGTAGTCGCGCATGACCTTAGTAGTTTATGCGACTTTAAACAAATTAAAAAAATAAAAAAAAAAAAAAAAAATAAATAATGAAAATTACAGAAATATTGAAATTTTTAATTTCAATCAATTTAAAAATCCAAAAATATAAATTACATAAAATTTAGAAAAATGAGAGTGTTTCTTGCTGATTTCTGTTTTTAACCTTCAGATTTAAAATTTTTCTGGGCCAAAAAAAATCAAATTTCAAGACGAGAAATTCCTGAATAATGACATCAAAAATTTTCTTAAAAATAATTTTGTTCTCGAATCAAAAAAATTCTTCTTCAATAAAATAATTTTTTTTAGTAAACTTGTAAATCAGAATTCCTACTGTCAATAAACAATATACATTATACACATAAATAAAAACAGTCTTAAGTATGACTAAGCACTCACCAGTACCAGCAGACAAATTTATCTAAAAACCACCAAACACAAATCTTAAGAAGACACAAAGACCTATGGCCACTATTTAGACCCATTATAAGATAGCTCTAAAAAATGTCGAAGCGATAACGATAAGTGATCTGTGCCTATCTACCTTTGAATGAAAATCATTAAGCTAAGTAAGGTAAAGTGTTTCACCTTTTCAGAAAAAGAATTTTTAAGCTCAGCAAAAACATTTTTTTTGTTGACTCAGTCCTTTGTCAAGAGACGCATCTCGTTTTGTTTTTCTTAGTCTCTTCTTTTCACTACTTCATATAATTTTTCGTGGCATTAGGATAGTTGATGGAGGACTAAGTGTTTACATGCAGACCTCCAAAGGATTTAAGAGGACACTCAATGGCAACACAATGTGACATTTTGGATGAAGCGCTACGGGAGGCTACTGGGATACATTTGTTTCCATTTTCGTCCATTCCACAAATTTTTTCAGAGTACATAAATTAGATTAAAAAAAAAAACCAATCTAATACTAAAAGAAATTAAAAAAGTTGAAAATTGGTTCAAATGATTTTCAATAATTAGTTTTTTGTTGAATTTAATTTAAAAGATTTTTTTATTCAATTGTTTTAAACTTTCTCACTAAAGCTCGAGTATTTTTAAACTTCATTTCAACAATTACAGTATAGAGTGTATCAACTTTTCGTATTAAATATAAATAGTTGAATTTCTATTTGCCGAAAAACTTTGAAACTAATAAACCGATTAAACTCGAGAACTTAAATTGAATTTTTCCGGTCATGAATTTTTACTATTAGTTGGAAAAGTAACGTCTTAAGTTTCTCCTAAAATAATTTAGCAAGTGAAAAAAAAGTCGTGACGTAATGACCGAAGGGTGAAAATGTAGTTAGTTAGAATTATAAGGGACGAAAGTAATTTAATTTTAAAACGCTGTTAAGTGCTTAAAATTAGTATTTTATCTTTGTTAAATGTATTGTGTAAAAGCAGGTACTAAATAACAAAGTAAGTTTTGAAAAATCTATTAAAAATACGAAGGGTTCGAGAATTGCGTTCCAGGTCAACGGGCCCATCTCTAAGAACAGATCATTCTACTGTTCTTTTTTTTTCTTACAAATTTGAATAACGTATTAATCTTTCTTGTAAAAATTTTTAATTCGTTTCTACACTAATAATTAAACTAAATTATGAATGTCCGATATTCTATTAATAAACTGGCAATTAATATATTCGAATAAATACATCAGTTGTAAAGAAAGCGATAAGTAAATTTAAAAATTTGAATAATAAATAAATCAAACTTTTTTTTAGCTATTTATCATGTCACTAATTTTCTACTCTATTTACCATGGTCGGTACCTGTACCTACACATTACATCCCTCCAGCACAGTTCAACACATACGCGCTCGTACATGTATATACATGCATGCTTACATGTATGCTTACACACATATTAAGAGAGTACTAGTTTACTTGTCAAAAAATTGTGTAAGGACGAAAGATTAAAACTAGTAGGCTGCAGACTGGCGCCATTCTGGCGGTCATAGTTGGAAACACATAACATAATAATCTTTTTTTCTTCTCTTTTTATGTATATTATATATACCAATTCATTTATATTACATATATGCACTCACACATTCATAGACATTCGTATACATCCATATTTTTACACGCGTAATAATAGGACGTAGATGTTAATGAGTTAAAAAATTATTATTAATACTTAAAAAATTATTTTGAATTTCAATATTTTTTTTCAGCTTATTGAAATTCTATTTTAAAAAACTATTCTATCTATAAAATTTTCACGATAAAAAATTTGTAAATATCAAAAAAATCTGTTTCTAAAAATTATTTAAAAATAACTACCTTTATCCCCGTCAATAAGGCTTCATCCCCATAATTGTCGATGTTTTTTTATTCATCCTTTTATTGACTAAGTTTAAGTTTCACCTATTCAAATTCCCATTGATCATAAAATGATTGATCATAAATTGGAATTAAAATTCGCAAAAACCGCCAGTAAATTCGTGACAAACCAGCACATACATAATATATACTCATTATCTCTCTCTTTCTCTTTCTTTTGATCCTATACACATACCAAACTGTAGACCGTATTCTCGTACATTGCGGGATACTCTTACAACAGGGTTACCCACTCTTACAAAGCAACGTCAAAGCTGAACTCAACAGAAGTAAACTTGTGGAGTGGTAAGTTTGAGTTGAGCGTTGTTGTACCACGCTACACCACGAGTTGTCTTTCGTACAATCACGATTTTACGTTCAGTCAGTACCTAACTACGGTACACAACACTACTACACGGTATATACGTACCATCCATAAAATATATATATATATAAATCTCGTGCGTTTATTGCTCTCGTGCGTCATTCAAAACAGCGCGGGAAAATATAAACAAACAATTTACCGACTCAAATTGAATATTTACCACCAAGTTCAAAACTTTAATCGCAAGCTTTTGTCAAAATATCCTACAAAAATTATTATTTTTCAAAACAAACCCGTGAACAGTTGAATTGTTAAATTATGTGCGACTTTTCGTGGATTTACTCCGATCAGTAAAACAGTAAAATAATAATTAAGTGTAACAAAACTTCGATAAACATGGAACTTATTTTGGAGTGATAATCGATCGTCGACCTAATATAAACATTTGTTTACTGAGTTGTTATTTAATTCAATAATTATAATTATCATGTGTATTGTGACTGATATTTCGATGACTGCTCAATTATAAATAACGATAATGTAAGTTTTAATTGATAAGAATTTCGTAATTTTAAATTTCGTTCCAGAGCGGGCTTTTTCAATACCAATTGCTTTAAATTGGAGATGATTAATGTACACTTTTTATTAGATCTTTTATTTTATTGTTATTAGATGTTGTTCCATTGGTCCTTATTAACAGTAATGTTAATGTATGCCGTTTGAGATATTTGTGTATACTTGTACTCTTTTTATTTAGAGTCTTTAAAGCCGGCAATTTGGAGTATTTAAGTCCTTCAATCTGAATCAAAATAATAAGCTTACTCTTCTTTTTTTTTTATAAATAAATTGAAAAATTAATTTGATTCAAAAAGAAGAATTTTGAATAAAATAATTAGGAAAATGGTTGACCCTAAAGGCTATCCCTGCAACTTCCCGCTTTATGACGTTTTTGAGCTCGAAGAGCTCAAAATATAATTTATCTGTTATTTTGAGCTCTCCGAGCTCAAAGAGTTAGTTGTTCTTAGCTTTTGAGCTCGAAATACAAAGAAGAAATTTGAAAATGATTTTTTTTTGGTTCAAGTTTATTTTCTGTCAATAAAAAATGATAATATTTGTTGAATATGTTCAATAAAAAAAAATTAATTTGATTTAAGTGCAGAATTTTTGAACCAAGAAAATTAATTGTATAATTTTTTAAACGAAAAAATTCATTTAAGCCAAAAACAAATTCTCCAAATGATTTTTTTGGTTCAAATGAATTTTTTTTATGGATCATATACAGTATGATAAAAACGTTTTTTGTGTGTATGATGTATGATATGCGAGCGCTTTCTGGTGTAAAATTGTAAATATAAAGTATGTACTTTAATTTAAAAGTAATATCGTCAGCGCAAACTTGCTCACATACTTGATATGACGGAAACGGTTATTTAAACGAATTTTAACTCCATGGTTGTATTAACAAGTCTTGGAACCTGTTGATCACTGCATAGTACTGCTATATTTGACTTCGGAAGCTTCGGTAAATTATTATGGAACACTGTCATTAATTTGATACCTTCCACGATTTATTTGATTTTCTCACATTATGTTCAGAGATATTTTTATCAAATTATATTTTGCTGGACTATATATATATTTATTAGTGTGTAATTTTGTGCTTTTTTTCTGTTAAATTGGTCCAAAAATATGCTTGGAATTCAAACTCATATCATATTAAAATTAATTTCTTTTATGAAATTTACAAAAATTTGAAAATTTATGAAGCTTAAGAATATTTTCTGATAAAAAAAATTCGATCAAAATTTTTACTCAAAAGAATGAAAAGTTTATTTTGAAAATTGTATGGCCAAAATCAAAATTAACTCATTAAAAATACAATTTTTATTAATTTTAAATTTGAATAAATGTTAATTGTAATTTTTTTTAGACTTTAAAATATTAATAAAATTAAATAATTTGATAATTGTAAAAATAATAATTGACTTATTAAAAATTTAATTTTTATTAATTTCAAATTTGACTAAATATTAATTGTAATTTTTTTTAGACTGTAATTTAATAATAAAATTGATTAATTTAATTACTAAGCGTTTTCTTAAATAAAATAGTCATTAAATATAAATATTGCGGACAAATGAAATATTTTTTCCCCAACAGTCAAATTCAAGCCCGCAACCTATTACTAAATAGAATTCACAATAAAATTAGTTCAAAATACATATAATAGTGCATATTGTAACAGTTAACGGTAGGATCATATAATAATTCAACGCACGGAAGTGCGAAGGTCGTTTACATCCACCAGAAATAAACAAAACAAGAGTAAAACTACTATACCACACTATAGGATATTGATGTAATGTTATAAAATCTAGTTTTATTTAAAAACACGATACTGGTCAATGAGAACGGATGTTTATAACACCATCATATACTTGTTATTAAACATTTCTTGGATACGTTTACATTAGCATTATACCCAATCCATAATAATTAACAAGCCACTCTCACACACACACACACACACACACACACACACACACACACACACACACACACTCATACATGATTGTATATTTATATTTATATTTTATAGGCATTCTTACTTTCTTGACGAAGGAAACTGAAAGCCTGCATTTAGTCAAGCGTGTCATTCATAGATTCGAATAAACTTT